TCATACAACTCTTATCACAATCCATACACACATCAATTGTGTAAAGCGCATTTGTACATTCATTGCCCAAAAGTTGTTTTTTAAACTATAAAATAAGTGAGGGTTTACATATCAGATCATCAACTCTGTATTCAAAGTTTAAACTTTTTAATCAAATTCTGCAACAGTTTATCCTTCCCAAGTTCCTTTATTTTTTTCTCCCTTCTGTGGACCATCATCTTACATTTCCCCCAAATGTCCACTTGTCAGTCCTCTGGTCGATTGCTTTATCTTCCCTCCCCTGTCCTCTCTTCTTTGGAAAGTACTAACGTCTATTCCCTTTGGTATCAAAGTCTTTATTGTCTTGGGTTTGTTTTTTCTTCTCCATTTAACACTGGTCTCGTATAATATTTTTACTTTTGTGATTGGCTGTTTTCACTCAGCATAATGTTCTACAGGTTCATCCAAGCCCTGAGGTGTTTTGTGATTTCATCATTGTGTTTAGAAATGCATAGTATTCCATTGTATATATTATACATGTACATTTCGGTACTTTGAGTTGTGAAACTATTCTCATACTCTTTTCTGAGTTATTCATACCCTATTAACATGTATTCATTACCCCTGAAGAGCTCTAGAGTTGATGTTTTTAGTTTGAATGTTTATGATGATATCAGTTCTGTTCTGACTTAGAGCAAACAAAACACTTCTGTTACACGTTTCTTAAAAGAGCATATAACTCAAGGCAGACCCTTTTTTACTAGTTCAATAGAACTATTGTTGGACGTTGGGCTGCTAACCTCAAAGTTAGCTGTTCGAGACCACCAGCTGTTCCTGGGAGAAAGATGGGGCTTTCTACTCCGTAAAAAGTATAGTCTCAGAAACTCACAGGGCCAGTTCTACCTTGTCCTGTAGAGTCTTTGACTCATCTTCAACTAGATGGCAGTGAGTTTGGAGTTTTTGGTATTAATTTGGTTTCAGGATGACTTCAGGGAATATTTTTGGTTAAAGGTTTAAAGGTGAATGTCAGGACAGTAGTTTCAGGGGATCATCAACCCTCCATGTCTCCAGATAGTCTGAAGCCCATGAAAATTTCAAAGAAGTTTTTTTAGTTTAGTTTTGTTGTTGAGAATATACACAGCAAAACCTATACCAATTCAGCCATTTCTACATGTACAGTTGAGTGACATTAATTACATTTCTCAAGTTTATAATAATTCTCAGCTTTCTCTGAGTTGTTCTTTCCCATTGACATAGATTCACTGCCTTCTACAATTCCTCTAAGTGCCCACTGGTCTTTCTGATTGCTCTGCTTGGTCCTTTCACTTTGAACCCATACAGAGAATTCTTTAAAGAGCATACTGAATAAGGCACACATTTCTTACTAGTTTAGCTAAATTACTATTTGGTTTTAAGAATACTTCAGGGGATATTTGAGAACTTGAGATTTGTAAACAATTCTGTTCATGCATTCTTCTTAAAATTATGTTTAGGAATTCCATATTTAAATCAGGAAGAAGAGAGGCAGTTGAGAGAGCAATATGATGAAAAACGTCTGCAGTCTAATGGTGCAGGAGCTCTGTCGTATGTATCTCCTAAAACTTCAAAGTGTCCCGTGACAATTCCTGAGGATCAGAAAAAATTTATTGATGAAGTGATGTAAGTTCCTAAACTGAAACCTGATGTATTTTGAGTCATGTGGCAGGACTATGTCCCCAACTTGCAGAGCACATATACACAGTACCTTTAAAGGTGTGATTTTTTTTTTTTTTTTGCTTTCTGTCTTGAGTTATAGGATTTAATTGTGGCAAAACTGAGTCTGTATTTACAATGGGCACAATAAAAACAGACTTCTCAATATGGCCATTAGACTTGTTACATGCTAGTAACATGTAACAGGCTAGTAACATGTAGCGTGAGGCTAGTGAGTCTCATCAGCAAGTAGTTAACCCTCTACATGGACCAGCAGTCAGAGAACCATTGTCCATTTTCCCTGAAGGCGAAGGAATGCATGGGGCCTATCTGGACTGCAACATACCCCAGTTGTATTGTCTTGCAGTCCAGTTTCTGACTAGCAAATGCTCCATTTGAATGCCTAGTCTTACCTAGTTATCAGTGTAAGTGCATTACTAGAGAAGTTAAAGATAATGTTAGTATAAAAACCTTAAATTAAAAGTCCAGGCCACAGTTTGATTTTTTGCTGCTGTCGTCAGTTCTGACTCATCATGGTGCCGGGGACAAGAGAAGGAAGCACGGCCCAGCCCTTTCCCTCCTCCCAGTTGTTGCTGGGTTTTTTGAGCTCAGTGTTGTAACCACCGTGCCAGCTTATCTTACGGAGAGCCGCCCTCTTTCTCACACCTCTGATTTGCCGCGCACGATGTTCTTCTCCAGGGACTGGTCTCTCCTAATAACACACCCAAGTATGTGAGACAAAGTCTCCCCGTCCTCACTGAAACACACAAACAAACGAAAAACACTTGGCTTAATGCTGGTTTGAAAAATCGTCACTAACTTATTAACAACAGCAGTATCCAAAAAGAGTATATGCCAAAGCTAAGTAGTTTTCTTTAAGCCTTATTGGACTGAAAATGTTATGTTTAGGTAAAATTATATTGTTTTATATCCTATGTTTAAGCTGTCTTTGAGTATGATCACAACATTCTTTTGGTTGGTGACTTCTTTTCATAAAATTACTGATGTTTATGGTCTTATTCTAAATCCCCAGAGAGAAAATAGAAGATTTATTACAAAGTGATGAAAACAAGAACTTGGATTTAGAGCCATGTACCGGGTTAGTTGTCCTGAACTAATGCATGTTTCTTTCTTTCTTTTTTTTCCACCATATGTTTCTTTTTTTGAAAGATAGATTATGCTACATTTGGTTCCTTAAAAACATAATTTTTTTTAGGTATATCCCTAAGATTTAAGTATTAACTATAGCATTAACAGAGTGGTAACTGGGACTTCGGATGAATATTTTGTTGCTTCTCCCAAGGCGTGACAGTTGCTGTGCCTCGTTCACTGTGGGTTACATTGAAGGGCTACTTTGACCACGAAACCCACTGCCGTGACAGTAGCACAGTGTGGAGCTATGCCAAAAATTCCCGAGTGTAGTTTTTATGGATGGTAGCTACTGCATCTTTCTAACACAGAGCGATTGGTGGACTCATACATCCAGACTTTCCTTTGATAGCTTAGCCAGTATGTCACCGACGCTTCTGATACATGAAAGTCACAGAAGAGGCAAATTCGCCATTGGGCTGTTTCTATCCTTTGGAATTTTCTCTCGTATAAAAATATCAGTATCTTATAGTCAGTAACTTGAATATCTATCCTTTTTCCTTTGTGACAGGCTTCAAAGTGTTTAATGTTTCTGTGCATTTTCTATAGGGTTGCTATGAGTCAGCATCTGCTTGATGGCAGTGAGTTGGTATATTTTATACTTACTGGCCTAAGATGACAGAAGTATACTGTCTTCCAGTTCTGCAGAGCGGAAGTTCAACATGTGTCTCACTTGGGCTAAAGTCTTTTTGTTCAGTCATAAGAAACAATGTTTTGGTTAGACAAAAATTTCTTCCTCTTCTATTGAAAAAAATGTTAAAGACAATCCTGATAAAAATTTTTGGGGCTATTCCCACCATAGACAGTCTAACTTTTTTTTTTTTTCTTCAGCATTCTTATTGGCACACAGTTTACCGTTTATACTCATGTATAAGCTGAGTTTTTCAGCACATTTTAAATGCAGTTTTTGTGGGAAAATTAGGTGCCTCGGCTGATATTC